CCTCTATGCTTTTCATGTTTATTTACTTATTGCACATTTATTTAATAAATATACATATATACATATGTAGGTATAAGTATATATAATCATGAAAACATATACAGATATATCTGTATATGTATAGGTATATATATACAGATCTGCCTATACATATGTATAGATATATGTACAGATATACCTATACATATTTTTTTCTAAATAATTTTTATATCACTAATATTAAACAATATGGGGATTGGCAGGTGGCGTGGTGGTTATGTATGTATATATATGTATATATGTGTGTATATATATATATAGAGAGAGAGAGAGAGAGAGCAAGCCGCTGGGTCTGGGACTTGAACTGCGGTAGGTCATGTGGGAGTCCAATGCCTTTAATTACTATCACATCACCTGCCAACCCCTCCATTCAGCTTTAAAAGTTTACAAGGCAGAGCCAGAAGGTGATGTGGTGGTTAGGGTGTTGGACTCCCACATGACTGTGGTTTGAGTCTTGGACCTATTAGCTTACTTTTTCACTTTCTCTCTCTTTGGTGAATGCACATGCCATATAGCAAATTTAAAAAAAAATTTGAGGGAACCAGCAGTTAGCGTAATGGCTATGTCGCTGGACTCCCACGTAGTCGACCGCGGTTCGTGTCCCGGACCCGGTGGCTTAAAACTCACGCCGGGCGCGTGTGCGTGCGTGCCCAAGATCCCGAGAGGAGAATGGAGGAGAAGGGATTGCAGCATGACCATCCCCGCTGGGGGGTGATTTCTCGCTTCTTGTCTCTATGTCTCTCTCTGTCTGTCTGGCGAGCGCACGCGCCCTACAGTGAAAATCTCTCCAAAAAAAAAAAAAATTTGAAAAAGTAATAAATTTATTTAAATAATTTTTAAAAAAGTCTGTAAAGCTCTTAGAGATAAAGCCAGGGAACCTGCTCATGTGTATCAAAAGTTGTTTTTCACGTTTAATTATTTATTTAATTTTTTGGGGGAGAAGTTTTTGCTATAGGATGCGTACGCTCGCCAGAAAGACAGAGACAGAAAGTGAGAAATCACTCTCCAGAGGTGATGACCATGCCACAGTCTCTTCTCCATTCTCCTCTTGGAATCTTGGGCACGTACGCACACGTGCCTGGCGTTGAATTTAAGTCACCGGGCCCGAGACTCGAACCATGGTCGACTACATGGGTGTTCAGCAACATAGCCATTGCGCCAACTGCTGATCCCTCATGTTTATTATTATATTTGATTTAATGCCATAAGAGTAACTGTTAAAGACCTATTTAGATACCTAAACTCTTATCATAGTTTTGTTTTTTCTAGTTAAAATAATTTTCATATCACTAATATTTAAAAATGTGAACAATATGGGGACTGGCAGGTGGTGTGGTGGTTAAAGTGCTAGACAACCAAATTGCTGATGTGTTTCAGTTCTGGACCTGGCAGCTTGCTTTCTCACTGTCCTTCTCTTTCTCTACTCAAATTAATAACAAGTACAATTTGAAAAATATAAACAATATCTAAGAAAGGACACAAGTTTAAAGGACCATTGTAATGATCGTACTTAAACCTGATTTATTAAGGGACTAATAATCCAGTTTGCGAATGTGTAGCTCTCGTCCCATTTTTGAACGAGAGCAAAGAAGAGTTCAAATTCCAGTTAGTGGCTTATTAATAAGCTTGTTATAAGCTTCAATGGCACTATTACCAAAGGCTAAAATGAGTTGTTGGCAGGAGCTAGAAGTTTCTATTTTGGGGGCTATCCTCCCATGTACCAGTACAGTACCTTAATCCTTAATTAACCTCCATGAATTTGAACTGAAGATTACCAGTACTGTACACTGTTCCTTTGACTCAGTTCATTTCACAGATGGGAACATTTCATCTTTACACATAACTGTACTGTATCACACACGCTTCTTGCTTCTTAAAAGCCATCAAAAAGAAATCTTACAAATAAAATGTATTGGGCCAGCAGGTGGCATGAAGGTTAAGGCGGCTGGATCCCACATGGTCAACAGCAGGATTCAAGTTCTGGATGTGGGGATTCAGAATCACTCTAGGCGAATGTGGGAAAGCCTAGTGCCAGGATAATAAGAGAAGGAATTGGAGTGGTTATCCCCCAGGGAGTAATTTCCGCACTCCCCTCCTCTCCAGTGAGTGTACATGTCCTACAGCAAAACTAAATAAAATGAATCAGTTAAATCATACTAGTCTCTGGGAGAAACTCCATATTCCTATACTTCCAAATTTCAATCTAAAAGCTAGTAGGGCAGTATTAGTGTGCCAGCTAGGGAAACAAGTAAGGCGTGTATCTCATCTCCTACAAGTGGAGCCCGGCGGGTCACCATGTAGATTCTCTGTGGATTAAAATGCTCACCTCTAACAATTCGAAATTCTGGCAGCCCTACCTAAAACTTCAACATACCACACCTTTTACTTATTCAAAGTGGTTTCTTTTGGAGCATGATAGTCTATTTTTCTTTCAAAATCACAGCCCTTTGTCTTTCATGAGCTTCTGCAGTTGTACGATTTGGTCAAGGGCATTCTCTGCAGGAATAACACCTAAGGGCACGACCGCGCGGGGTCTCCTCTGCACTGTCAGGGCCGGGCCTCCCTAGGGTGGTCAGGGCCTGGGTGGGCCAAGCGTCTCCCAGGCGGCCGTGCTTTCGGAGGCAGAGAGAACTGGGAAATGCAATTCCGGGGCTCAGGCAGGGCTGTCACCGCCACGGGGCCGGGCGCAGCGGCCCGG